TTGGTCTTAATTCTCCTCAAAAATTTCCTCCTCTCTCCATCGAATTTATAAAATTATCGAGGTGATTGAGTATTTTGGGGCGGTGTGAGATAGATAGATGATGCCTTGAGCACTAATCGCTAAATAATAAGAGTCAACACTCGCATCTGCGCTACAAAATTAAGAGAGAGAATTAAGGAGACGAAAAACGCGGTAGCATTTTTATCCAAAAATATATCTTGGCGCCGCTCGTCAAACTGGTCCGATTTGTGCTGGTTTTTCTTTAGAAGCAAAAAAAAAATCTTGAATTTTATATAGAAAATTAAATAAAATTTTGATTATATCCACCAAATCAAATGTAAAAATGCTGACAGGATTTCTTTTCAGTTTCAAACATGGAATAAATGGAATTGATATAAGTTAAAGTAATTTTAATTTATTATTTGAAATTAATTTTTCGTTTATATAGTTTTGGCGCAGTTTTACGCAGATTTCGAATCTTTAAATTAAATCCGCCTTATTTTCTACTTTAATTTTTATCACTTTATTTTGACTCCTTTTTTTAAATTTTAAAACAATATTGGATAATATTAAAAAGTTTATTTTACTTCTAAATAATCATATAAAATTGCGAGTTGGAAATAAGTTGCAATAATTTTCAGAACCAAACAATAAATTAATAAAATATCTCAGCAATAACAAAAATAATTATTTGATGCTCCAATTAAGTTAAAGGGTTAAAAGCATCATTTCATTACACCTTTCCCACGGCTCTCTCTTCCCGCCGGCGTATGAATTTCAAACCCCCTTTGACCCTTCAAATAATATCCCTTTTGTACCATTTTCGCCTGTCAAGAGTCCTATATTGAATATGAATTGCCGAAAACTGGTGCGTGCGCCGATGATGCTCTTCACCTTTTGTGAATTTTGCTCTCTTAAATTAGCGCTTGGCTGCTGGCGGAATATAATAAAATTATATGTATAGCCCCGCTTGCAGTTCAACCCCTGTGTGCATGTGCTTTGTCGGGGGATGCGTTTCTGATCCTCTCTCGTCTCTGTTTCATCCCTCTCATCGCTTTCAGAGACTCTCAGAGCCGCCGCAGGTCGTTCAAGTGGCTCGAATTACCTCCCGGAGAGTTTTAAAGGCGCTTTTTGAAATAAACCAGGGAGACTTGCTTGCATATTCAAAAAGTTATTTTTGTAAATAAGAGGAAATTTATCAAACAAACAATTATTTTTTAAGAACTTTTTAATAAATTTTAATGATATTTGATAATATAATAGTATTTCCAATATAGAGGACAAGATTATGCCAGTTATATATAGAAAAATTAGAATTGTGCCAACCGGACGATATGTAAAAAAATATTCAGATTTAAAATATAACCATTATGGAAATATGGTTCAAAAATACAATTCAATTTGATTTGTAAGAATATTATTTTCTCGACAGCAACTTTTAACTTAATAATAATGACAAATTAATATAAGCGCTCAATTGTCCAAAAAATTCCCACACCGATAATTATTCAGCTGAATTTCACAATAGATGACATGCATTGAATTGATAAAAAAGTGGGTTCACGCTGCACTTGGTCAATTTTTTCAAAGGTGCTCTCAATAATGTGATGGGGATGCACACGCGAGGCAGACAAAAGTAAGTGGTTGCGCAGGTCTATACTGACGAGTTGAAGTGGATCTATCGTTTCATATGCCAGAGCCGAAACCGACTCGCATTAGTGGGATATGAGCAACAAACACAGCAGCACACGTGCCCTTATGGTCTCATTATCTATTTACGCGCGTGCACAAATGATGAGGTGATATCGGCGAGGGCGATAAAGAGAGATCAGGTCATATTTCGACTCGCTGCGCTGCGCACAAAACTCTGTATTATTTGTAATATTTGCTGCAGGCGCACCAAGATCGAATTTCATAAATATATCGTAATTACCGTGTCAGAAGTTTTGCATTTTTCTCTGGAGTACTGAATTTGATACTTCCTGTTTCTCTGGCCTGGCAAAAACATATCATGCATATGAATATTTAATTTATTTGTAAATTTTATTAAGAAAACACCTTAAATAAGCAATTAGTTCTAAAAATGCTGAGCCAATTTCAAAAAAAAAAAACATATTCGGCGCCGGCCATACATTCAACAGCAAATCTTTGAGTATAGGTTGTCATTAATATATTAAGTATTAACCAAATGTGCCATACAACTCATATAACCCATGCAGAGAATAAAACAAAAAAGGCGTTTATAGTCATAAGTACTTAATCAAAACAAAAATTATTTTTTTCCAATCATTAACAGTTTATATATTCAAACAAATATATAAATTAAAAAAACATAAAAACTAAAACTACCTTTTAAATTTATTATTACAATTTATTTTATTATAAAATTACTTTACGTCACCTAATTTTATTTTTAAAATGTTTAAATATTTAAAAACATATTATGAATATTTATAATTTTTGACAAAATATTGTTTACATAATTATTATTAGTGATAAGTAATTACGCTTTTTGTTAAGTTTAATTGATAAAAAAATTATTATATATGTGTATAAATATTCATTCATAGGGAATGTGAAAATTTATAAATTATTCTAAACATAAAACTAAAAGCGTTGCGGAGCGTTTCGATTATCAGTCTAAAGATGCTATTATATCACTATACATTAATAATTATCGTATCAATCTATATTGAATATTCTAATCTTCAGGATGTTTTGATAAAATTCTGTAAAATTATGTATAGTTTTTGGATTATCATTTCATCTTGATGCATTTTTTTTTTTTTATTGCTGCAAAATCCCTTCAGCAAGTGATAATTTTTAATGAAGAGCATTACAAAAAAAGTATAAATTGGGTTGTTTCATTTAGTTGAAGATTTTTACTGTTGCAGCAACTAAATTTTGATGCGTAGCACGGCGGCAGTTGGGCTTTTTTTATTGTGTTGAGAGGTGTCTATTCAATTTTTGCCAGCATCGCTGGAAGAGAAAAAGATTTAATTCCCTCTCTCATCAGAAAAACGTATATATCAGGGCAGCAGACCTCACGTGCGTGCCTTAATACCCAGCCGCACTGGTGGATTGTGCCGAGGCACAGGTCGAGCTGCAGGGGGCCGAGGCTAATCCGCAGAGCGATGACGACGAGAGCGTCAGCGGCGCATCACGCTTGGTCGCACTGTCACACCGCGACTCGCTCATCCCGTCACCCTGCCCGCTAATCTCTCTCCTCGCGCAACTAATATTCATCCCGTGTCAAATGCCTGCTCGCGTAATTCCCTGCCTCTGCGCTATCTTCCTGCGGAGCCGATCGCTTGATTCGCCCTCGATCAAATCCAGCAGAGCGTGAGCAGCGCCCGTGTTCTGTGTGTCGGAAAAAATCGAGCTGCAAAGGAAAAGGTGCGCTACTTTTTTGTATCAGCACGGAATGCGGTGGTTGATGCTCTTTTCAAAGTTGCGCGTCACAATTTTAGCTTGAGCAGGGCACACAAAAATCAATCACTGAGAGAGATAATTTATTTTATCAGGAGCACTTTTAATAATTTTAAAAATTTCCATTAGCAAATATAAACCGCTTTCATAAGAAGCTCTCAGCACATATCATGGACTATAAACAAAAAATTAAAATTTATCTTGTAAATCCATATAGAACTATTAAAATTTTATTTTAATTTTGGCATGAATTCATTAAATTCTTATAAATTTTCAACTTGGAGCTGTCTGAAGCAAAATTAAGGGAGGAATTTGGCTGACTAAGCAATTTCTATGGCTTTCACTAAATAACTTAAACTTGAATTTTTTTCTTTTCTTAGATTCTAGTTTCAAATCAAAGATAATTTTAAATCATGCATGGTTTAATATTAAAAATTCAATGATTTGCTGATAGAAAAGTTAATTCATATTATTTATGAGTATCAGAGTCGGAGTTTCTGCTCATCTCCTATGGAATGATCGCCCACATTGGTTGATCTTATTTGAATTTTTGCGCTGCTATACAATTTTATTGGGTGATTGTATACATATTTTATTATTATTTATTCTTCTCGGTCAATACAAAAATTTTTAAATTGGAAAAAGAGAAGAAAGGGTTCAAAACTAGCAGATGTCTGCTAAAACACCCGACATCAAAAAGAGACTTGCCTGCCGCGATAAACCTGCACAATGTATGATTTTTTTTAAATATAAGAAAAAAAAATGAATATTGAAAAGGAGAGGAAAACTTTTTTTGTTGTTGATGTGGTTTCTGGCTTTCGATGGGTTACCACAGCCAGATCAAGAGTTAAAAAACTAAAACCAAAGGATGGTCCGCAGTTTGGCTATATTGATATATTTACATAAATTTAACTGTATCAACATGCAATTTGTTTCGGAAATTCTTGGGATTTAAAAATTCTTGTTTGGGCATTTTAAATTCTTTCTACACTTTCTTAAAATTCAAATTAATAGTTTAACATCCAAATTACAATTTTTTCAACTTATAGAGATGGACAGCAAATTAATTCCAAACATAAAATATTCTGATTCTGTGCTAAGACACTTTGTTTGGGTCCAGCAGCATTCACAATGAACAATTCTGAGAGCAGAATAGCTCTATGCCGCATATATAAACGCAGCGTTTGGTTTTTGGGTTTCTTTTCAACGTTGCACGAGACTCTCTGCGTTTTTATCGACAGCCATCAATATATCTGTGATCCAAAAATATACTCGGGACTATTTCCCCTGAGAGACTATATGGCTCAGAGCCAAAGTCAGCCAGATTCTTCAACTTGTCATCGGAAAAAGGGCCCGAAAACGAGCCCGAGAATATCCTTTTCTGAAAAAGGGCGAAAGACAGGACAGGAGTTAAATATATTAAGCGGAGGCGCCGAAAGGGGTTTGTGTGGCTGGGGTGAGAGCTGGTGAGGCCGGGTGTACGGACAGACCAAGAATGCGGGAAGGACCGACGACGGTGGGCATCCATCGAGAACCATTTTCTTTTGGCCGCCCGCCCCGGCGCTCATGCGCTCGCCAATGTTGCGGGCGCCGAGGCGGGGCCAGCGCGCGCAGCTCGGCGGTGTCGCGGCCTCGCGGGCTCGCGGCTCAGTCAGTTCGCTGCCGCGGTTGCCCCTGGTGCGCGCCTCCGAGTCTTGCTCTCGCTCTCGATCGAACCCGGCTTAGTTTCCTGACACTGTGGAGCCCCTCGGGTGGTGGTCGCCCCCGTGCGAGCAGGTGTTGCACCAGTGTCGTCCGACGGCGGCCGCGGCCGTCGTGCACTCGTCGTCCCCCTCGTGCGCGCCCCCCGCCGACGCCCTGGAGACCCTGCACCCTGGCGGCGCCGCCGCCGCGGTCAGCACCGCCTTCCGCGTCTTCTCCTCCATGCTCACCGTCGGGCCCAACAAGGGCCTCAAGATTTCGCCCACCAAGCAGGAGATGGACCTCGACACCCCGCACAGTAAGTCACGCACTTGATATATAAAATTAATTAATTATTCATCCTCTGAACTGGGGTTAATTCTGCTAGTCCAGGCGGATACATAGAATATTATATTATAGTGATATAATACAAATAGGGTTGAAGCTCCAGAAAGTGAATGAATCTATATGATGTGAAGCAAATAACGCAGAAGCTGCTCTGAAGTAGCAAAATATATATCTAGTACTTCCGGTTTGTTAGTCGTATACAACAATAGGAATTATATATAGCATTAAATTTGTAATTTTTTTAATTCTCATAAATTTACTGACCTCAGGAGGTTTTCAATTTTGAAGGTATACATAAGAAATTGAATATATCGCATTAAAATTTTGACAAAAAAAAATGGCTATTTAAAGTTTAATTCTTCAAATCATTCCCTTAATAATAATATAACTTAACCCACACAGACCTATAATTGCGTGATGTTTATAATATTATATGCATAATGCAATTTTTAAAACACTCGTATGCCCTTCTCTGGTCTTATAATAAGTGTTAATATAATAATTTTAACTTAAATTACAAATTTATATTAAGTTACATGTCATTTATATTTATTTTTAAAATCTTTAAAATTATAAATAAATTTTCCTAATGATTGTATTAAAGAATATTAATATTTTATTTTAATATTTTTATTTTAAATTTTAAAATAATTAATTTAATTTCTATTTCAATATTTTATAAAATTTGTTTTATAACAGTAATTTTTAAACATCGCAGTCATGGATTTCCTATAAATTCATCTCGATTGCCCAGTTTTGAGCAGATTATCTAGATAAAATATTTTATTCAAATACGTAAATTTGTGATCGCGAAAATTACTCCTCTTCATTATTTATGTGAATTATTGAATTCAAAATTGTACCTGAATATTGTTTAAGATTTTAAAACTTTCTGATAATTGTAGCATAAAATAAATTTCAGGTTTATGCAAATTGAACTTAATAGAAAAAATAATTTATGCTTTGTTAATTTATTGAGATATTAAAAGACACCTCAAAAAATGGCTCGTCGCCTTTTAAAGTTAAATCCACGTTTCCCCCCCCCCCTCCCCCCCTTAATTTTGCTGACTTTGAGAAGTTTTATTATATTCTTTGAATTAGTCACAAATTTTCTGGGTCTCTAGCCCGAGGTCGGAAATGATTCAGAAGGAATCAAATCAAATTACACTCGCATTCCTCCGTCTAATTAACCAAAGGTGTTGGACACACAATTGGGAAAATTAATCACCCATTAAGTTGACACCTGCCGGCGATTTCCCATACACATTTAACATGCAAAGCGTGAGAAACTATGCACTTTGGCTGGAGGACGTTTTTGCCAAAACTCTTTTTACTTTTTCATTTATATACTCATGAGCCGCGGTGCGATGTGAACGCGCGATAAAAGTTCTCACTGGCGCGCAGTAAAAGAGAGGAAACTTGCAGGTGGCGAGTGTCACTCGGAGACAAAACCACCAGGTTCGGATGTTGTAGGATAATTTTTTCAAGCAAAGAGTCGTTTGCCCGCATTTCCTCTCGCGGCCGCGCAACCTGTTGCGTCCGAGCGGGCGCCGCTCGGCCGCTCGCGGCCGGGGTGCACCGCGTCGCGCGGCAGGACTCTTACTTTAACTCGATAACCTCCAGCCTGCATCCATTAACCAACGGGGAGAGATGAGTTTTATCATCAGGGTCGTGCAAACTGCTGGGCATGAGCTGCCGGTCGAAACAAAAATCATATATGGCTTTCAAATATATAGTAAAAAAAGGAGTTAACTTTGTCACAGCTGGATTTGCCAACCCCTGGAGAGTGTCTCTCTCTATGCTTCCTTTTTGGCTAGATAACTTTCATGAAAAGGGGAAACCCTGATTTAAAAAAATGCAAAATAAATGCAACATTAATTGTTGTTTATATTCTTGAAAATTAAAATCAATTATGTAACCATTTGCGATTATCTGATTTTAAAATTCTCCCATATTTAGCTTGTCTTAATAAAATAGAAGAAAATTAAAGTTTTATCTTGCAGAATTAAATTTTCTCTCCTTGCAAAAATTCTAGTCCACGTGGAATATTAATTATGCTAATAGACAAATAAAGTGTGTATTTAATGAGCATTGAACCAAACTAAAGCTAAGAGGCGTTCAATCAGAGATTAATTATTTTTATCAGAAAAGGAATAACTATAAAATTACCTCTTTGTTGCGGTTACACTTTAAACTTATCAAATTTGGCATTGGCAAAAGTTTGGAAAAACGCTCTCAAATTTGAAAATATAAGAAGTAATATATTAACAAAATTCCCAAATGGAATATGAAATTTTCTACAAAATTTTCATTAAAAAGAATTTATGCAAACTGATAAATGTTTTAGCACTGACTTTACTTAAAATTTGAACCATGTCAAATGAAAAATTTACAGTTATTGAAATTAAATTTCTGCAAAATTAATAAACGATTTTGAATTGCTATTGAATCCAAAATTCATGGAAATAATTTAAGCTTTCAGTATGTACTAAAATTCCAAAATTTAGCAGATGAAAAGGTAGTAAAACAACGCCAAATGTTTTTTTTAGAGATAATTGAAACAAATTGCAGCAAATATATGTAAAAATTACTTTATAAATAAAAGTAAAACTGGAATATTTTGCATTAGCTGATGATAATTTTCATACAAGTTGGAGGGTCTGAATTGCCTCTCTTGCTGGGCATATCGTCCTGGCCAAGTCAGGAATTAGCTCAATAGAGCATGAGAAATTAGCCGCACGAGGTGATTAGTGCGGTCATTAGAGCGAGTTGTGCCAAGTCATGCCGAAGCAAAGGATGGAAATGTTGGTTTGAGGAGCTGCTGCTGCGGGTGCGCAGGTAAAAATAATATAAAAATCTACTTCGTCTCTGAATAAACACGCGCGGCGCAAGAGAGGGACTCTGCTTTATGGATTAGGTCGGGCCGAGTTATAAAAACAGAGAAGAAAAATAAATTCCCCGTTTTTATGCTTAAATAAATGTCATGTTAATGAAGCCCTAAAATGACCATCGCTGCCTAATGAAGAGCAATGAGACCACGCCATTTTTCGCGGCTTCTGTTTGTCCTCGGAGAAATTGGATTTGTAAGTTTTATAAGACATGGAAATTTTTGATGAGCAAAATATCAAGGAGGAAGATTCTGTGAGGATATTTTTCAAACAAACACCGGTCCGCACACGGGAGAGATGTTTTGTTTAAAGAAGCAACTTGCTAATTGAAAATAACGAACCGAAAGCGATAATTTACAGTTAGCTGCGCTTTAGCATATGCTCTGCCGTGAAATTGTGAAATTTTTGACAGCCTCTTCACATGTTCTTGATGAATAAATTAACCAAAGCTGCCAATAGGAAAGCGAAGAAATTCTCATAATTAAAATGCAAAGTTGTAAATCCTAGAGAAAAAGAAGGAGTTGCCAGGGCATATATAATTTGAATTTTACAATCTGCTACTTGGAAATTGATATTGATCAATAAAACACAAAATTATATATTCCATCAAGGCTAGAGAGAAAAATATTGATGAAAACATCTTTCGATTGTTTTGATCGTGCACCGTGTTTTCCATGAAAATGCTGATTTCCTTGGGACACAGGGCCTATTAATCAATTCCCAGAGGCAATAAAATTATCAGCTCTCTCGATTCCACGGAAAATTTATTTATATAAAACAACACGGAAGAAACTTCTTTCTCTTGGCAGAAAATGGAGAGGAATAACATGACGAAGTTTTCATTTGTTAAATAATAAGCTTGGAATGGAGTTTGTGTTTTCATTTTATTGTGCCCTCGCGTGATTCCAAGTGGCCAATCATGCAGCCGCGCTCCTGTAATTATATATTTATTGAGAAACACACTGCTGCTGGGATGTGCCTTTAAAACCCTAGAAAGAGAAAAATACGCACGCAACGTATACAATTTTTTTAAAGAGTGTCTTTTATAATCTAAGGAATATCATGGCCGACAAAAGTAAGAATTGAGCCAAAAGTGAGCAATTAAATATAGATTCGTGATGTTCTCAAGTAATTAAAATCAAATTAAATTTTTAGAACAATTACAGATTGTTGAAGAATATAAAATTGTCTGTTTTTTTCCCAATTCACACTAATGGACAGATTTCGGGGAATCGAAGAAACCAATTAACAAATCTGATATGCATACCAAAATTTAAAGATATTAATTAAATAAATAAAAATATGATTTTTTTTGTTCTAGTATTTTCAATTGTATGAAGTTGGTTAATGCGGACATACTTTTGTCAGATTGTAAAAGTGCTTTCACAGAAAACAAATGGGCAAAAACGCAAAATTGAAAAATTCCATGAACTTGCAAAGCAAAGTGACCCTATTTTTTTCTAAACGACTCTTTCCCCGTCATATAAAACGAACGTCACATGGAAATTCCGGTCACAGATGAATTTATGGTTTTTTGATTTTTGTGCAACACGTGCGCTGAAAATCTGCGGGAAAATAAAAGCTTTGTGCGCTGGAAACGAGGCCTGCGTCCTGTTTTAGGACAAGCGTGAAAAATATCGCCCTTTTGCAGTGCCAATTTCCTGTTCGACTCTAGCAAACTTCGCAGAAAAGCTCTTTCCCAGCAGCAGGAAAATCAAAATATTATGCCTCTAAAAGGTTCTAAGTAGCAGCGATTTGGTTTGTTTGTTTTATAATGATCCATTAGTATAGAATATTGGAATTATTTTTTCAAAAGAACCCTTTAAACACAAACTTTTTAAGTGCACAGTCGCATTTTATTTTGTATAATCATTACATTTTGGCATAATTTTTTCTTGCAATTTACGTGAAATTTAATTTTGATGTGGCCTTAAGAGAAAATCGTGTTACTTTTTTGCGCATCAATTAGGAGAAGATTGCGAAAAATGGCGTTTTTGTTTTTTGTGCGATGAAGAGTAAAGGTGCCTTGCTTGACAGGATGTGAGAGCAATTTGAAACCTGACCATTTAAATTTCTCTCTCTT